TCAGAAACACAGTTGTTACTGATTAAGCTTGCCATATTTTAACTATAAGTCACTGTATACCTGTTCTGAACTGTTCTCATGAGAGATCAAGTAAGGCTCTCCCCGTCACTAGTCGACCTTTAGCAAATAAGTGACGGCAACGCGACGACGACGGCCAAAATAAACTCGTTCAAATCAGTGACTAATTTAAGACCGATATGTCTTGTATTACCCGTTGTATGAATTTATTGCAGTTTGAAGAAGGTTAAGACAGAGGTTTATAGTTGAGAAGGCTTCTACTAAGCCAATTTGCCGAGGACGACTTCTCGCGGCTTGAAAGGCAGACGTTGTTTACAAAACGTGAAAATCTTTGGTTTGCTGTTGTAAACAGAGCAAGGACGACGTCTAAAACTCCCAAGGGCGTTTAATTATGCATTTTCTTTCTACACTGTCATAAATTTCATTGTATTAATATACGTCGCCGTCCTGTTAGCTATAAAGGTCCCTAGTAACCCGCAGGAGAACTATAGTCAGACTCGTACTGGTCCTGGAATATACATTATATGACCACTTTGTTACGGACATGCATATCAATTAACCCGCTCTACCGGAAAATACATTGCCTTGTATATAGAGCCTCGTTTCTGTAATTGAGACAGTAGATTTAGAGCCCTTTAGAGCCCTTTATTATTTTTTAAATCATATTTTAACAGCTAGAGCGCCCATATCTATGTGATTCATTAGTATTGTAGCTCTACAAAGCCTTGATAGTATTCTATAGCTATGTCAATAAACTCGCTGCGAGTATATTAATCGAAAGTATATAATTCTTCGTGGATGTGACCGTATAGATATGTTAATAGTTAGAATTAATGTTATAAGATCTTTTTCAGACTATCTTTGAATCATTCCACTCCGCGGACTTAAGGAATGGTAGCAAAAATTTGCTTGCCCCAATTCGTTTTCACTTTTCCTAGAAACATGTACATCAGGCTTGTTACAGTCATGTTTGCGAAAATTTTCTTTCCTACCAAAGGCATAATTCTATAAACAGGTCTTTACATGATTATTAATTATTATTATTATTATTATTTTCTAAAATTTCACATTAAGTAGCAATTAAATAATACGTACTAAATTATAATGCAGATTGCAGTTAATTAAAAATGAAGAAAATATATAAATGCTACACTACTCTATTTACATGCAAGAATACTAAATTTTGTTATATTGTTCAATTCCATAGACAATTGCACTATTTTTGAAACGTTGTGTCTACAGTTAAAATTAGAAAATTTTTTCTCCGTTTGTTTCTCTATTCCTAGCTAATTTCACAAACTTTGGATGGCAACAAATCATTTATGACCTGGGTCAAGTAGTGACTTAATAAGAACATAATATATATCGGCTTCTATATACGACCTTCTATAGAGTTATAAGATTACATTCCACCAAAGCTTCTTCATATGATAACTCAGGAAGCATTATTTGAGAGCAGGTATATGATTTCGTGCATGAGTCAATTCCAACAAGATAAAGGGCTCTAAACCTAGCTAATATCTCTACAGCACTTTCCGGAAGGGTGTGTTGTATACTACGTAAATTACGAATAGGATATTTTTCATAACGCTTTCAGAAACTCCGCATTCAAATAAAAAACACACAACATTCTGATTCTAACATACATAGGGACTGTTATATATCCAGTATTGTGAAGATTTTAAGTGATCCTTATATAAATTTTGATCCATCTATAACTGTACCCACTTATATCTGCACAGACAGGATTGTGTTTTCCTTGCCGTATATTGCATGCAAAGAAGCAACATATGCCTTGTATATTTTAGTACAAAGAAATACAGTTTTGTCTTTAACTCCCCCTGTACAATTCTATAAAAGTTCGTAAACAGGCATGCAAATAAGAAAGTTTTGTATTTGGGCTAAGGGGCACTTATATAGGCACTTAAACAGTCAAATACACTGGTAAGAGGCCAAAGTAAGATTCGCTTCCATGCATATTCATCCTGGAAATGCAATCATATAAAACGACTGGTGTTTCATTAAAATCAACGCACTTCACAAGTCATTCATGTTGGAAGAAGCAAAAAGAAAATCTTTTTAATTCAGGTAATTTTATTTCTGTATATAGTATTGACAACATTTTCTGCATGGGTGTCTAGCTATATTCCTTTTCTTGTAACTGCGGAGTACTGTCATAGCAAGCCAGTAATAATACTGTGCCGAATTTGAAAATTCTATTTTGCACTGATAAAGGATATTTACGACTGAAAGGTGCCTTGTTCCAACCTTTCATGAAAAAGTAGTTGCATGTCTTATTGCCTGTGATGCAGACAGAAATGTAAGTAATTTATTTGAATACTATCATAAAGCTCCCATGCAGGAATTCACTGATAGTCAATTTTGTGCTGGTTGATCTCCTTGATACATATAGTTGAGATCGTGATCCGCTTGTCTGCTAAACGATATTATGGACGGTTAAGTTTTTCGAAGAGTTCCCTGCAATTCCAACCAGGGAGAGGGGCCAGTAAGAAACCTAACTAGACGGTGGTGAATTGGAAAAGTGGGAACTGCAGGTGGGGTGTTTGGGGGTGGTACACCCCAGAAAGGTTTTGTATCTAAGCCTTTGGGGCTTGCTTTTCATGAAGCTTTTATCCCCTTAGTAGACAAAGGTTTGCTCATGAGATGGGAATACTAAAACACTGCATTTTAACTAAGTTACTCGTCCGATTTTGGCTTATATTTTAGGCCGAAAGGCCCTTCACTGGAGGAGGGAGCAATATAGTTTACTGCGGGACAAAATTAGAGGCTGAGGGACTTGGCCCCGGTTCATATAGTGGTTCAACACCATGTTATGCTAACTGTTATGTTGACTTATATTAATTATGGATTATATATCTTGTTTTACTTGGAGATTACCTTTCGGTTATTTTTTGCGCTCCCTCACGTATCCCAGGTCATTCGCCAACTATAAATTTAAGATCCTGCATACATTTATTTTCCACCAACGTAAATTTATAGGCCCCTGCTCATTAATATATATAGACTATAGTACATATAAACTGCACGTTTTATGCTATGTGATTAATGTTAATATTTATCAATATATCTGTATTATATGTTATTATTTTTGTTTCCATTTTTATAGCGATCGAGAATTGGATACCTTAAGCAAAACTGGTATCACGACTTTAAGCGGCTACTCTCTTGGTTCCTCGAACTTTGGTAAGTTTTTATTAATTAATCTTTATAACTTGACAGTATTGGACTTGATAGTATTGGACTGTATTAAAACACAATAAAGCACAACGTCTTTTTATTAATTGAAGACCTTTTTCGTCTAGTTTAAAATTTTATATTGACTATATACTGATCGCTTCTCGCTATTGCTTGATTGGCTTGTGTTTTTGTCTATGTGTGTGTTTGTTAGAAAATAATTAATGTAAGCCCCTAGATAAGCATTATTTGCTTTTTGGAATTGGGGCAAACATTTGGAAAATATTTTTTAAATTAAAAAAATAATTGAAAGAAACGTGCAGCCCGGCAACTTTTTTTTGTAAATCCCATCAATTCCCGAGCCAGTTTTTGATGACCAAATCCCAGTTTCAAATGTATACTTAAAACTTTTAAAACCCAATATTCTGCTTTCAATATAGCTCTATTTAGAAATAACTTCATGAAGTAAACGTTTAAAGTATATAAATAATATACCATGTTCTTGTCTGTCACACTGACATTTTCTGTTACATACTAAGTATATCTGGCAACACTGAGATGTACGTTTAAGATCTTTTTAGATTTCAGGTAGTTCATACACAACCTACATTCTTCCTCCAATGGGTGTAATATTGATATACTTTTTCCTATAGATATGTGGATTTTATTACTACTTGCAGTGCCTTGTTTGGCAATTTTGCCTACTGACCCACCACCGGAGAAATGTTTTGCTGAAGCTGCCACGAAATATATAACTTGTCAACGCGTCATTGGAAGACCAGCTGCTTGCCACTGCACAGGCAAAGAACCGGCATGTTATATTAAAATGATTCTTTCTGAGGGGTCGGATGGGCAATTATATATTAACGGGTCACAACCAGGTCCAACCATAATTGTCCGGTATCGAGGGGTTGTCGCCATTGATGTTTATAATACTATGGATGAAGACACTTCTATATACATTTTCATGGAATGCATCAAATAAATGTTCCGTGGATTGATGGAGTGGGAAATATCACACAGTATCCTATACCTGCCAATGGTAAATTCAGGTAAAGTAAAGCGAATATAGTAAAGCTTAAGTAGAAGGGTTTTAGTGGGGTGCTGTTTCATAAATGTCAGCTTTTAAATCTGCGACTCAGGTCCGAGTTCTCAGTACAAGGTGTACTATTTATAAACCGAGTGAGAGGGCTTTATCGGTGCATATAGACGCGAGCCGAAGGCGAGCGGCTATAGGCACCGATAAAGCCCAATCACGAGGTTTATAAATTACTTCTAAAATTCACCTTTTGTTTTGGGTCCCAATGAAATAATAAGAAATGTTAACTACAATAGTTCTATTGTTTTACGACTCTTCCCTTCATTGATCAGCAAGCAAATTAATGACGGGATTAATTATCAATTCATACAAGTCGTTTGAAACGAAGTTTTCAAATGGAAATTTGAACATTTTACTTGTGTCGTTAATGAGTCGGTTTCGAAGCGCTCGAAGTGCTGAAGAGGAGCAAACGTTGCTCGAAAGAGCGATGCCGCCCAGTACAAGATACGCGACAAAGTAGGCTTTGAAGATTTTTGATTCCTGGAGAGCTGCTAGAAAGGTTAAAGAAGTGAAGATCGACGATGCTGAGGTCATGAAACTGATGATATTGGCCCAATCCAGACATTAACTAGGCTACATCGCTGGCGGAGATCATGAATGAAGCGTCTTTAGCATTTTGGTTAAATTAAGCAAGTTTCTTGGGTTTAAAGAGTTTAAAGTGGTGTGTAATCAAAATGAAAGGATTGTTAATCCCTTGTTTAACAATTGTAACATTACCTTTAACTTTGGAAAATAAAGTATTTTATTATTGATTTCTCGAATATTTGAGTTTCTATAATACAGATTAATAAACATTTTGTTAAAGAATGCTTTATAAAGGTACATGTACCTTTATCATAAAGGTACATGCAGTCTATATATGAATTTTAAATCAGCACACGCCGATCTATATCACGGTATACAAGGGTCATCATGTGACGAGATTTTAAGAAATTCATTGGCTAATTAGTTCATGAATTATTCATGAATTTTAGAAGTATATATAAAAAAGTAAAGCAAAGCAGGCAGAAAAGGAAAGCAAAAGCAAAAGCGAAGGAAACTGAGCAAAGCACAGCAGAGCAGAGCAGAGCAGAGAGCAGAGACAAATGAGAGCAGAGCAAAGCAAAACAAATGAGAGCAGAGCAGAGCAAAGCAAAGCAAAGCAAAACAAAACAAAACAAAACAAAACAAAACAAAACAAAACAAAACAAAACAAAACAAAACAAAACAAAACAAAACAAAACAGAACAAAACAAAACAAAACAAAACAAAGCAAAACAAAACAAAACAAAACAAAACAAAACAAAACAAAACAAAACAAAACAAAACAAAACAAAGCAAAGCAAAGCAAAGCAAAGCAAAGCAAAGCAAAGCAAAGCAAAACAAAACAAAACAAAACAAAACAAAACAAAACAAAACAAAACAAAACAAAACAAAACAAAACAACCCAACAAAAGTTACACAATTAAAGTTTTTGGCTTTTATAAGACGGGAATTTCTTAATTTTTATTTTCTTTAAATCTATATTTCGCTTGAGAGTGAATGGGTTTTCTTTTTTCAAATAAATGCACTATTTTTTCAAAGCGGCAAAGTTTTAAATATTAACACAACAACTCGCAAGCGATAAAATTACTGTAAAACCATAAAAAGCGAGAAAAAAAGGTGTATTACCGGTAAAATGATTGTTCACTTTGTTTGGCATCGTGGCTGTGTTTGTACCTACTGGCACAACCCAACGATGAACACGTATTTGGTATACTTTTTTTTTTTTTTAGTAAAACACCGTTTTCCAAAGGCAGATATAAAAAAATGTATGCGAAATAACAAATGAACTTGCACTCTTAGTCAAAATTCAAGATGGTGGATTTATAAGGGCACGCGTGAGAAAAAGTGGAGACATGATTCGTGATCAAGTACGCATTTTATATCTATTATTTCTATGGTAAACCTCCTTACACTTCGCATGAGAAATTTCTATATTATAGGTCTAATTACGTGTATAATATTAGGGGGAGGGGTTATATATGGAGGTTTACTGTAACTACCGTTAATACTTTATTTTAAATTACTTTATTGCACAATGAGTATAAACCATATATGAACTAAATCGTAATGACTAAAGCTAATATGAACTATTCCGAAAGCCATCTTGCAATTTGCAGATCGCAAAATTTACTGAAATAGCCAACTTCCATAAGTTTTAGTATATGCCCACCAACAACTTTTGTATTTAAACTGTAACATATACTAATTATTAAGATGATTGAAACATTACACACTATGAGCATAAAATGACAAACAATTTATAATTATAAACTTCTTTTCAATGTTGAACTAATTTACTCAATACAGGTTTCAGACCCTTGGCTTTGGGGTAATTGCCACTCTTTTCTTCAGTGGTGGAGCAGAGGAAGAGGCGCAGTTGGGAAAATGCCCCACCAGTCCATGATATTAACCATTGTCTTGTCTATAGCAGCCTCCCTTTTCCTTAACTGTCGATAGTTTCGGAAACTCCCGGACTTTCAATTACTATGCATCTTCTTCATAACATCCCGTAGCTTCCATGTTTTTGGCCGCATGCCCGTGCTTGCTTCTCCGTGTCCTACTAGGTGAAAAACTGGACGGAAATGTTTGCGAGAATCATTGCTAAATTAAGTTGCACGTGCCGGTGAAACAATAGTCTCAACTTCAAGCGAATACGTGTATATCGAGTGTCAAATGTTAATGCATCAGTGATCAGGTTACAATGCTAACAGTATTGTCAAATTGCTAGCATTGTAACCTGATGCATTGACATTTGACACATAATCATAAGAACAGATAATCCTTAAGATTCATCAACTTACATTCCATGCAACTGTTCGTTGCGTATCTATCTGTACATGATAGGAATCTGCAGCAAGTGTAAAAGCAACAATTTCTCAAACGTTACAGCAACCAAGTTCTTTGAGAAGCATTTTAAACGTTATTCTGTAATTCTTCAAACGCCAGATATAAATGAAGGGATTCATTGAATAGTTAACAAAAAGTAGCGTAGTAAGCGATACGTGGACAGGATTGCTGCCAATGCGTGTGTAAGATATACGCGAATCATCTATTGCACTCCTATAGATAATCAGAGGAGCCAGCGTTGTGATCGTAAGGAATGACACCAAGAACATTGTTGTAAGCAACCGTTTCTCGTTAACCATACGTGCATGCTCTGCTTTATTTTGCACACTAGTTGATACCGCGGCTACGCTTTTTAAATAACTTGAATTATTTTCCAAAACAAATGCTGCTTTACCGTACATTATTACCACACCAAGCAATACAAATAAAGCCATGCCGCATCTAGCATAAACTTGCCGTCTGTCATTCGCGAATATTGTTTGAAATGCCAAGAGTCCAAGGGAAAGTAGCCACTGAATAAAAATGATAGCGAGAGTTAAATTTCGTGTGATCTGAATTCTATATTTGAATGGATGAACACAACTCATGTAGCGGTCAAAAGCCATAGTAGCAATGGAAAAGCCACCAACATAAGGTGGCAGGTAAATCAGAGGTTGAAGACTTAATCCGTTTATACATGGGCCCCACTATTGAACCAAAAACCAAGAGAGATTCGTTAAAATGTCGCTAATTGCAAGGTTCATTATCAAGTAAGATGAAGAATTTCTGA